TTGTTATGCCCCAGAGGAGGGATTTCACTCTTTCAGTGTCTCTCAAAAGATCTGACCTAACTTATTTGAGGTAAGGACCATGCCTGCGAGTTCTTTACCTCCTTTGGAAGAGAAGCCACGCTGCTCTCTCCTTTTAAGAACCAGCCCAAGTGGAAAGTAAGCTCCAGGAGGCTCTGTGGGTTTCACTTACTAGGCAGAGGCTGTTGGGCAGCTGTGAAATGGAGAGAGTCAAGTATGCAGCCCCAAAAGGCAGCTTGGGAATTTTAGGGCAGGAAAAGGCTAGGTTAAGCACATTTTTTCCTTGTTCCAGGTCCTATTTTCTATTCTAAGTACAGCCATGGCAGTGCTGGGAGGGAGACCACATAGTGCGTTCACCGGACATTACCTGGGCCAGGGGAAAACTGGACTGTAGGAAAGGAGTCAGTTGCAATATATTTTGTTAGCATATTTACGTATGCATATGATATGCAAATATGGGGCTGATTAGCCTGTCGTGTTGGGGCAGCTCCTGAACATTTGCTTTCTACACACAGTCCTGAGGAGGTCACTGAAGTCCTCAGTACAAATAAAGCATTCTCTTCTCAAGTTAGATAATCAAACCCCTCACACACACAGAGCAGAACAAGACAAATGCCCCATGTCCAAGCCTTACAGGAATGCAACGCTGTCTCCCTAGGTGCCATGTGTCACTCTGAACATGGGAGGGGGAATACCTTTCTCTGCCAGATTTCTTCCCTTCGGGCCAGTCCAAGATCCTGGACTTCCCCGGCACCTCGTTCGTGGAAGGTGAACAGAGCGCAGACTGAGTTACTGAACCCGTACGATCGCTGGCACTGTTCTTTACGCGATGGTGTTCTCCTTTGTTCTCCAGTCACTCTGGAGCTGAGGTATTGTGGTTTTAACCCAGGCCGTCAGAGTTCGGAGCCTGGGTTTTTCACCTTAATCGCAGGCTGCCTTCCGTAATCACTCAGGTGGACCAGACATTTCCCAACATTTCTTCCTCAGTGTTGAGTCCTTTCTTCCAGGTGAGTCTCAACCAAGCCTAAATGCAGATAGAAGTGCAAAGCTTCTGATTAAAGCCAGGCAGGGTGGGCAGGCTCTGGGGCCCGACCCCTCCCTCCACTTCTTATACCTCCTGAGTCCCCTCATAGGGGCTCCGAGGGACCATTTCTCCCTTACTGGCCTCCCGTTTTGGGGGGCTTCTCTTCTCTGCAGTAGGTCCCTATTATGAAATGTAAACTGTCCTCATTTTTTCCCAGGTCCCAGATTTGGTTGTTCACCTTCTCACTGAAATTTGTTAGTAGCCCCAAACGCATACCCATGGTGCTTTGGAAGTCATCTGTGGACATCTGTAGGGCAGTGAAACATTTGCATCACCTGGATGTGCATGTGCCCTGCTGACCAATAGATGGGTGCTTTTCCCCATGATCTATGTAGCGCTGTATTTTTGTGCTTTTGGTTGCTGATTTGTTTTTTATTTGGTATGCTCCTGGGGATTGAAACCAGAACCTAATGCCTCTGGGTAAATTCCCCCTATCACTAAACTACATCCCCAGCCCTATTTGCTAATTTGATTTTAAGACAGGGTCTCTCTAAGTCACTAAATTGCCTGGGCTGGTCTTGAACTTGTGATCCTCCTGCCTCAGCCTCCTGAGTAGCTGGAATTACAGATATGTGCTCCTGCCTCACTCAGCCTTTGTTGGTGACTTTACAGTATCAAATGACCCCAAGCATAGTGCTTATTATGATTTAGATCTAGGATGTCCCCCAAAACTCTCATGTGCTCTGAGGTGAGGCTTTGGAAGGTTCTTGAATCGTGGCAGGGAACGCTATAGCTGCCTTACTGGGAGGAGGTAGGGCCTGAAGGAAGTGGGTCCTTAAGGGTCCATCTCTCTCCCCGGCTCCTCCCTCCTCTGTGCCTCCTGGCCACCATGATGTGAGCAGCTCTCCTCAGCCAGACCTTTCCACTGTGCTGATTCTGCTTTGGAGCCAGCTGATGAGAGACAAAATAAGCTCCCCTTTATGTTTCGGGTGCTGTGCTCTGTGCCCTCACAACACCACAGTGACTAAGCAGAGCCGACAAGTGCAGCCTGGTGCTCCTAGGCCCGAGAAGAGTAGAGGACCTGTGTGTTAGGTGAGCTGCGGTCAGGCATAAATTATAAGGCTATTGGCTGTGAGTTCAACGTTAGTGAGCTATATATGTGTTAAATGTATATATAATGTATTAAATAAGGTGTCAATAAAGAGAAGCACACACACAAAACAAGGTGCTGCATTTATTGGTTGAAGAAAGTGTTAAGACCCAGGGGCTCACAGGAAGCTGTTACAGTGTGGATCTGGAAGGGCTCCCAGAGTCCCATGTGTCAAAGACTTGGTCGCCAACCCTGGCTCTTTTAGGAGCAGATGGAACTTTGAAAAATGTGCGGCTTGGTGGGAGGAGGCTAGGTCAGGGAAGGGTGGCTTGAAGGGGAAGTTGAGACCCCTTCTCTCTCCCTTTACTTCCCAGCCACCGTGAGGTGAACGGCCTTCGTCTGCCTCGTGCCCTCTCCGTGACGTACTTACTGTGCTACCGCAGGCCCAATTACGGTGGCCAGTGACCATGTACTGAAGCTTTTCCCTTAGCAAGTTGATTACCTCAGGTCACAGAACAGAAAGCTAACACAGCCTAACCTGTATTTCTCTAAGGAGGCCATAATATTCACCGCTGTGTGTGGCAACTTTAGAGAACATAACTACCGCAGTAATAATAATTGTCTTATTGTTTTGAGCTCCTCTATGTACTCCAAATTTTCCTAGAATCATATTTAAATTAATCCTAACCCTTACCTCTATAAATTATCATTATCCCCCTGATGGTAAATTTAAGGCTTAAATAATTTGCTAATGCCATAAGCTAGGAAGAGGTAAATAAAAACAAAACAAGGCCAAATAGCATATGGCTCTATATTATTTTTCCTTTTTCCTCACTGCTTTCACTTTGTGAACTAATTCCAGCTTGGCATCTTGTACAGCTTAGCCACATGCATATCCCCTGTCCTACCGGATTTCTTTACATGGGCTTCGGCACAGATTTTCCCCCAAGGGCTCTCTCCACTGCGCGGGCACACACAGCTAAGCCTGCTCATGGTGGCCACGGTGATTTCATACAAAGGAGCCAGATGTTCGAGCCTCCAACCACTCCTCCTCTTCCTCTCCTGCTCCCTCCTTGGCTCTGGTAGCCATGGCAGTCAAGATTCCCAGACAAAGCAAAAACGTCTTCCACAGGAGAGAGAGAGAGAGGAGAAGAAAGACAAAAGACAGAGGCAGAAGTGGACCTGAAGGAGGGAGAGCACACACACAGAGCTGGGGAGGGCTGGGGCGGGAGCCCCACACTAGGGAAAGCTGTGTACCCATCACGGGCACCGCATACTTCTGCGTACTGGTAAAGGAGTATTCATTTCTGTGATCTCATTAGCCACTCTGAGTAGGTGCAGGGCGCATTGTGCTTTCTACCTAATTGATCAGAAAACCGAGCCATAAAACGCTGGAGCGATTGGCTCCAGGTCACACGATTTTAATTTGCTCGACATTTGGGTTAGGTTATTTCTGTCACACAGCAAAACTCGGTAATTGTTATCCTAATATTTCAATTTGTAAGCCAAGGTCAAGAACAGTTCACGAGATCACAGACACACTCTTCTTTTTAAAATACTCATATGCTGGGACTGTTTCAATATTTTTACTTGACTGCAGTTTCTTTAGATTTCAATGCTTATATCACGACATTTGATTAAAATACGACCAAACTAGTGTTCCTGTCCAGGGGTTAGAACGTCTTCCCTGAATGGGATCCAGCTGTGTGAGCAGAGAAAGCAGCTTTGATGCCCCCTCTTCTGGGAATCTTTCTGGGGACATCAAAGTCAGGAGTTAGATCAGAAATGAAGAACAGATAGGATGCTACAGAAGAGCTTTTGGGTAAAACTGAAATCGTCCCTTCCCAAGTTCACAGTCTCCACTCTGATGCTGGAACCCAAAGTGTGCGCAGCGAGTTCCTCCCGGAGATAGTGGTCTCTACGGGGGATGTTGATGAAACTGTGATCCACGTCGCCCCGTCTGCACGGCAGTGTCTGGTTACAAGTTTAACTGCGCAAACTAAGCGTGTTCAATGGCAGCAGCTCCAGGCTGAAGGAGGACAGGAGATACAAAAGGAAGATACGTTTGTGGTCAGTGAAGGGCTAAGACGCCCCCGGAGTGAGTCACGGCCACCTCTCTGTGCTCGGGGCTCACACCGTTCATTTCACGATTCTGATTGCCGGGTGCAGACATCTGGGGGAGACTTGGCCGCTTCCCTTGGCAGATCCTGGGCTTTGCACTGGGCCATTTGCCTCCGAATGAAGAGCTCCTGCCTCACCCACACGGGAGGCCAGAGAATGCCCGAGAGACCATTTAGTGCTCATACACATACGTGTGTGCAGATCTGTGCTTCCATCATCAAAGTGCAGGGGTTGAGAGCTCGGGCAAGATCCCTGTCGGGCAGCAGGGTGACGGAGCTCCTGGAGAAGACAGCGTGAACACTCTCAGCGGTTGTGGAGTTTTCTGCGGGGACGATGGCTTTTTAATAGAGAAGCGTACTTGGCTAATTGACAAAGCTATTTTTTTGGTCTTGGCTAAAAGTAGTTCCTTCCATTATATCCTGGAGCATCTGGCTGTCCTGGTAGAGACATATGAGTCCAACCACAGGCCTGGAATATCCCGAGAGGGCAAGAATAGCCCTAACAAGGCTGACTTCTGCCACTCGGGTCCTGCAGTTGTCAGGAATGCTTTGTCTCAGAGGCAGGCGGCTCGGAACCCAGTCAGCGTGGAGACAGAGACACTCACCTCCAGCTCCTGGGCTCAGATCTTTCTTTTCCACAGCTCCAATTCTTATCTCTAAGTTTTTGCCACTAAACCAAATTTATTCCTGTAAGGAGTTTGCACCTTCTCAGTGGTCACGGGCCTGTGAGTCGGTGCCATTCTGGAGCATGGAGAACTTGGACGTGCTGGGGTTCCTCATCGTCACGCTGAACTGCAATGTGACCATCGTGGGTGAGTGCTGGGAGAACCCCAGCCCCTGCTTTCTGCGTCTGTTGTTGCTTTGCTTGAATTGACTCTTGTGTTTGCGAGGCAGGCAGTGGAACCCCTGAGCCAAATCCCTGGCCTATGAATTGACTCTTAAAGGGTCAGAATATTATCCTGTTTTCAGTTTGCCTGGCCACGCCTAAGGCCAGCGTGTTGCTGGAGGACAGGGAGCTTGGGACAAGCCATTCTCTGAGAGCACCAGGGCTCTGCCATCACTGAATGCTGCCCGGGGGCGAGCCTGGTCCCCTCCAAGTTGCATTCTCACTACCAAAACCAGTGGGAGGGGCCTTGTGTGCAGCCCACACGGCTTGCTATCAGGGAAAAAAAATACAGTGAAAGATAATAAGAGAGTGATGCCTGGATTATGCTTTTTTCTCATGCATCTTTGGTTTTGTCCCTCATATTTAATTTGTAAAGATTAGTAGTTTTGCCCGTGCACCTACCCAAATCCCAGTTGTACTGCAGTTCATAATTTTTAATCTTATTTTAGTTTTTGTAGTGCTGGGGGTGGAATCCAGGGCCTCGCACATGCTAGGCAAGTGCTCCACCACTGAACTAACTACACCCCCAGCTTTCCTGGTTATGGACAAAATCGATAACAAAGGTTGCTGACTTTGAATAGGTGAGTCACCTTTCAGAGAGGCGAGAGTAACAGGCAAAAGGGATTGAGGAAGGGACTAATACGTACCTGAAATGTGGTTGGTATTTTCCCTACTCATTATTTTGTAGAATTTAAACAAAACTGAACTCATTGTAAAACTTCAAGTTGGTGACATTATCACTTAATTATATTCTTTGAACTCAGCTGCCTTCATTTATAATAGGGTTTTGTTTTTCTAATGTCAGGTGATGCTTGCTATACCTTGTCACAAAATATGTTTACAAGTTATTCTGGCTGTGTTTTAAATGTGTTCCAAAGTAGGTGACCCAGGATGTGACAGTGGCTTTGAAATTATTTTGATTTCTTAGAGTCCACTCCTTCATGTGAAATGGAAGAAAGATAAGTCTCATTATTTCATAGAATAGGGGAAGAAGAACTCTGAATTAGTGAAAAGTCAGTGTTCTTAAAGGAGTTCAATTTCAAGGACAATAGAACAATGCTAAATGCAAGTCCTGTGACCAAATAGAGACCTTATCGGCCACTGTCCTAAGTAAGTAAGGGAGACAGAAATAAGCGGCTTATATTTTCTCTACACAGTAACAGGAATATTTAAAAACCTTTAAAAATTTTATTCTTGTAAGAAGAGTAAGGTCTTTTTTACATCAATGATTTTCTCAACCAAACTTTCTCTCTGAAAATTTCAATCCAAGAGATATAAAATGCTTTCAGTATATAGTGTTCTCTTTTTTTATTAGTACGTGTTTGTAGTACATAATGATCTCATTTTATCATGGGGAGTTGGTATAATGTTCTTTTAAAATCTGCTCATCGGGAAGCATCTTACAAACAAGTCCAGCACAGTGGCTGCTAAACAATAGCAAAGGAACAAGCCAGCCAATACTTTTGCATGCCCGAACACAGGCCTGCTACTTACTTTCTCTGGTCTCCAGTCTCCACCCGGCCATGTTTTAAAACTGTTGTTTAGATAAAATCTTAAATTGGCTTTATTCCCAATTATGAAATTGGGCAACGCTCCATCCCAGGAAATAGAGTGAGTGTTTCCAGGGGAGACGTGTTGAGAGGCGGTGACCAGGCCATTCCTGCTTGCTCTCTTTCAGGAAAGCTCTGGCTGCTTTTCGCGGTCCTGCTGAGGCTGGGCGTGATCGTCCTGGCGGGGTACCCGGTCTACCAGGACGAGCAGGAGCGGTTTGTCTGCAACACTCTGCAGCCAGGCTGTGCCAACGTTTGCTACGACATCTTCTCCCCGGTGTCCCAGCTGCGCTTCTGGCTGGTCCAGGCTGTGTCCGTGCTCCTGCCTTACGCCGTGTTCAGCATCTGTGTCCTTCACAAAGGCGCCCAGCTCGCCCTGCAGGGAGCCCGCCTGCCGGACAGAGGGGCCCCGGGCGTGCCGGACTTCTCCTGCGGCTACCTCATCCAGCTGTGCTTCCGGACCCTGATGGAGGCTGCCTTTGGGGCCTGGCATTACCTCCTCTTTGGGTTCGTGGTCCCCAAGAGATTCTCTTGCACGCACTCTCCTTGCTCCAGCGTGGTGGATTGCTACGTCTCTCGGCCCACGGAGAAGTCCATCCTGATGCTCTTCGCCTGGACCGTGAGTGTCCTCTCCTTCCTCCTCAGCGCCGCAGATCTGGTCTGCAGTGTGCAGAGAAGGATGCGCCGGAGGAGAGGCCCCGGGCAGGCTGTGAGCCGCACCTGCGGCAGCGAGGGGTGTGGAGCCAGAGGGAGCGAGCCCGGAGGGTGGGAGGAAGAGGCGGCGCCATCTCTCCCTGGTGGGTGGGAGGGGGGACAGAGTGCCAACGACCCCAGGGCTCGGTCTGCCGTGTCAGGCCAGGTGGCACCATTGGACGAAGACAGGAGTGAGGGGCTGTCCTCAGCCAGTGACAAGGTGCCGCCGGCCCACAGAGAGCCCGGGGGCGGTTGTCCTGGAGAGGCTGCCCAGGACCCAAGGAGCAAGGGCTTCAACCGATCAGAGGTGCGGCCCTGCGCCTCTCGGAGCCACTTGGCCCGCCACTATTCCTCTGGCCTGCTGCACCCTCCTGAGCAGCTGGCCTCCGCCGGAAGTGTCCCCTACCTGAGAACCAAGAAGTCTGAGTGGGTGTGAAGAGAGCGCCACGCGATGCCCCTGAGCCCAGCTCCGCAGCAGGGCCGCTTGTCCTGGCGCACAGCTCCGCCCTGGAGGTGCAGAGGAGCACAGACCCACGTCCGCTGAGTTCCTGATAGCAGGAAAGCAGCCAGAAGGACAGACAGAATGCCCAGAAGACTGGGTACAGATCTAATTTAGATAACTTTCTGTTGAAAAAGCCCTTGACATTAAATGCCCATCTCCAGCTATAGTAATTCACGGGAGAGTGCAGAGTGCTGGTCCTCAGGAGACCGTGGGATGCGCTGCCACCCTTGCTGATCTGTGGTCTTGTTCTTTACTGTGGTGTTGCATCCTGTAGAGCGTCTTATGTCAGCAGAGCTCAACATGCTTGGATTGTTCTGTGTTATTAGGATTTGGTTCTCGTTTTGGTTCTGCTGGATGAGAGGCATTGGTGATGTCATCCGTAGAGACATTCGTTGGCCTCCTTAATAAAGTGAACACTGAGCGCATCGCAGTGACAACACTTCCCGCTTCACAGTGTGAAGGAGAAGGAGGCGCACGCAGGGTGTCATTGTGCGCTGTCATTGCACAGCGTGCGGGGTGCCAGGGTCCCCCGTGTGGCCGAGCATTTGTCACAAGGTTTTCAGTCCCGGCTTTGTCCGCGCCTCTTTGGGGCAGTGCGGTCCAGATTACCCTGAGAGCCTTATCCTGCTGCAGAGGAGGAGGAGGACTTTGGCGCTGTGTTCAAGCTCTCTGTGTGCACACGAGAAACGAAAAGCCGCCCAGGTCTTGGGAAGGGCTTGAAGTGACGGTCAGCCTGCCCTTTTCAGGGTCCCTGGATCCGGAGTCGGTGCTTCCCCAGTTAGAGGATGCCTCTGTGCTGCAGTTTTCCTGCTGCCTGACATGGAGCAGATGGGAGGACACACCTGGCCCAGGGCAGGTTAAACCAGCTCACCTCAGTAAAGGGAGGAGAAAGAGACACTGGGTCTAGTTCTAGACTTGAGCACTGTTTGCTGGGCCCCACATACAGATGAGCAGAGGAAGGGGGTCATCCTTCACTGCAGCAAGTAATACAAAAGGTGAACCACTGTGAAAACAACAGACATTGGAACTGTTCTAGAGAGACCTCTGCAATAAAATATCTGCTAGGATGATGACTAGCAGCCTGCTGGTTGTCTCTACAGGATGTCAAAGCAACTCGTTAAAATTGGGAAGAAAGATTCACATAGCTGGACACGGTGGTGCACACCTGTAATCCCCGCACTCTGGGAGGCTGAGGCAGGAGGATCACAAGTGTGAGCCCAGGAATTGGGCAACTTAGTGAGGGCGCATCTCAGAATGAGACAGAGACAGAGAGGGAGGAAGGGAGCGAGAGAGAGAGAGAGAGAGAGAGAGAGAGAGAGAGAGAGCAGCTGGGGATGTAGTTTAGTGTGAAGGCTCTGGGTTCACTTCTCAGTACTAAAAATAAAGAAAAAAGAGCACCCAAAGTTGGTTTTGGCCTAAGATAGCGTGAATTAATGTGCCTAATTTCACATATTCTCTCTTTATCTTTCCCTCCTTGCAAGTCTCTCACTTTTGTTCCTGAAGCCACTTAAGTTTGTAATCCGTGCCCCGGATCTTGGTGTTCTATCTTACTGTCTGGTACAGTGGATGCTCAGTAAATGTGATTTTGGTGTTCGAGATCCCCGAAGCATGGGAAACAAATACTGGTGTCCCTGGCAGCAGATGATTCTGGTGGCTTCTGAGGTTGGGCCCAGTCTCACGTGAGAGGCCCCTTGAAGGGCTCCCTTGCCATTCTGAAAATGAGCACCCCAGGACCCCTGCACATCAGTGTGAGGCTGAATAATGCTCTTTGGGGAAAGGCAATCCAATCAGTGAGCGTCAGTCCTGCGCACCCATGCAGGGATGGAGGAGGGGCAGGGAGAGTTGGGGTTCTTCTCCCCCTTGGCCCAGCTGAGCTGGGCTCCTTCTTCCACTGGCATGTAGTGGGCCCAGGTTTCCAGATGGGGGACTCTGCGTGGTGGCTCTGGGGACACTTTGCTCTCTCTGCTGTTGCCCACATCAAGAGAGCTAGAGTCCTGCAGCTTGCTCTGTGGAGAAATGTGCAGGTTCCTCAAAGCACGGCATGCCAGGAGCTCCGGTCTGATGTCCACCATTTCTTGGCAGCTTACTTTGCTCCCCTGGGCCTCGGTTTCCTCCTCTGAGTGACTGGATGGTTCTACAGTGGTCTCTGCATTTTAGGACTCTGATAATGACATGTTTTAGCTTTAATTGGGTGGTCTTTGACAGTGGTAATATTTATATGTACAGAGGCATGCACCAAGGGAGTGCTAAGGTAAATTTTATTTTGATACAGGGTCTCTCTAAGTTGTGCAGGCTGGTCTCAAACTTGTGATCCTCTTGTCTCAGCCTCCTGATTATCGAGCAAGGGTTTTAATAAGATTGAATGGTGAGAACAGGAATGACCTGTGTCGTGGTCCATTTTCCATTGCTGTACCAAAATACCAGAAACTGGGTAACTCATAGAGAAAACAAGTTTTATTCCATATGGTCCTAGAGGCTGGGTAGTAGTCCAAGATGGAGGGGCGACAGCTGCTGAGGTCTTGTTTGCCGTATCGCAACCCGGCAGAGGGTACTGCACCATGAGACAGGGCGAGGGCGGTGGCACCCACCCCTCTTCCTCTCCTTGCGAAGCGGGAGCGTTACCATGGGCTCCACCCTCACCACGTTGTTTAATCCTCCATTACTCCCCTGGCCCCTCCTCCAAAGACACGCGGGCTGAGGTTCCAGCAATGAACTTCTGGGGACACATTTGAACCCTCGCAGCCTGCATGTCCTCAGGAGAGCAGCCGCAAAGCAGAGACGGGGAACCTGGTGGGCTATGGGCGGGAGTGGCAGGAGACAATCCGCTGCCTTCATACCTCTGGTGAGATGACCGAGGGCTCGGTGGACAGACACGGGGGACCTCGGGGGTGGCCCCAAGCTGTGAGGAGAGGAGCCCTGGACCTGGCTGGCAGTCGCAGTGTCTGTCACTGCGGATGCTTGCGCGGGACGGACACGAAGGGTTCACCCCTCGTCTCTTCCCTTTGCCGTCACACAAGACACTTCAAATCACTGGTTTTATACCTCAAAGATCTTTCTAGTCAGCTAAAAGAGATGGGGAAGAAAATCCTTGTATCCAAAAGGTTTAAAGAAGAGCAGGAAATTACGTGGCTCTCACTTTCAAGATTCCAACCTTCTTCAGTGTTAGAAAAACAAACGACTTCTCAGGAGTTCCGGCTCCTCTCACAGTTACCGAGTACCCCGTGGCCTCGGGCAGCACAGGGCAAGCTGAGCTCCTGTGGCTGCTCTAACAGATGAACCCCAGCTTTAGTCTCTGCTCAGCAGTTCTGCACAGCACAAAGCAGGCACTGGTGACTGGAGAGAGGCTGTGCTACTTGGAGGGGCACAGGGACCCTCGGGCCAGGGGCTTCTGCTCCCAGCTGTTGCATGCCTGACCAGATCTCCATTTACGTTGCAAGGGAGGCTCAGAAAGGTGGCCCAGAAGAAGGAGGGAATGTTTGGGTGAGCATAAGCCAGTACTTTTCTCAGCAGGACTTTTTCTGGATACCTGCCCCATAAGAAGCATTTAATATATTCTTTAATTTAATATATTTAATATATTTTGGTACAGCAACAGAAAGTGGACCATGACACAGGTCATATTAAATGCTTCCTATGGGGCAGGTATCCAGGGGCCTGGCATAGGTTTCCTAGGAGATGCCAAGTGAGACCGCTGGCTCCGGTCCATGGATGGATATCCGACCTGAGAACACCTCTGGCATTATTCATGTTCACACTAAGCATATCTAGTGTCATTTCCTTTGGCACCAAAAGAGACAAAGTGAATAGAACTGAATAATTGGGTAGAACCCAAATTGTTTATACTTTGGGACTGTCTTATTAACAAGTCATACTCAATGAAAAAAGGACTGTAGTTCATGTGTGTGTGGGTGTATGTGTGTATGTGTCTCTTCTCTCTTGTCAGTTACAGAGCGAGCCCTTCCTTGGAGAGCTTCTTGTTTGTTTTTTTTTGAGACAGAGCCTCACTTTGTAGTTCAGGCTGGCCCTGAACTCACTATGTAGCCCAGGCTGGTCTCAGATTCTCAGCAATCCTCCTGCCTCAGCCTCCTGAGTGCTGGGATTATAGGCATATGCCACAGCGCCCAACTATCCTTGGAGAACTTTCAACCTGATGGCCTTCTGTGCCCTTGGCCTTAGAGAGACAAGTTGAAGAGGCACACGGCAGAGGCAAAAGAACTCTAGGACAAAGTCACCTCGAGCTGAACCCAGATAAAATGTGTTCCATGGGGAATCTGAGAAATCACAAGGAAATGGGGACTGTGGGTGTTACTCAGTGGACTAGTGTTTGCCTAGCATGTGTGAGTTCTGTGTTTGATTCCCAGCACCAAACAACAACAACAACAACAAAAGCCTGGATTTAGCAAAACAACAACAAAAAAAGGTCTTTTTCCTCGGAGGGGGGAACAGAGAGGGACATAACAGAGTGTGACCCACAGTGTGACACAGTTGGGGCCCACTTCTCTGCCTGTCCCCCGCATCTCTGGGTTGGTCCCTGTCCCTCAGCCTCTCCAGCAGGAGCTTTTGTCTTTCACCCTGGCCCCATATATGTCTATGAACAGGCTGAGAAAGATCTCATATTCCCGGAGCTACACGGATAGCCCAGTTTTACTGTGTGTTGCACCTGCTTCTAAACTTAGTGTTTCTGTTTCTTTCTATGAAGTTTTAAAAGAATCAACTCATCACGTGAACAAGCAGCACAGTGGGGTGAGAGAGGCCTGGCAGTGTCACTCCCCCCCCTGCTGGGAAACTCCCGGGGACACATCCGTGTGTCACCGGAAGGTGGTCCTCAGGCTGTGAAATTACAGCTGGCCCCGCGGTCACTGCAAGCAAATATCTCCAGGAATTGGTAACAACACATGTTCCAGAGTGGGGAGAGGGACAAAGGCTTAGAAACG